CCAAACTTAATATTTTTTGAAAAAATGACGGCAAATTTGCACATTTTCTTTATCAACATATATGCAGATTTGAACCTTTAAATTTGGAAACAAACATATTTCTGCATTAACACTGAATGTGGAATAACCAAATTACACACGAGCAAGTCAGTTTGAAATAAAAGGCATCAGTGGTATTCATTACTTGTGGTATAATCAGCATTTTTAAAATCTATTCAGGATTTATGTTTTCTTGTTTATTCATTTTTTTTATTTTTTTATTCTCCTTTTTTTCTCCTGTAATACGTGTCATCGCTGCTGTGACGTCTAGCTTTTCCCACTGAGGAACAATAAAGTGATTTTCTATTCTATTCATCTATCTGCAGCCTTTCCACTTCCTTTTTTAAGCTGAGGAGGAGACTCCTGTTGTTTTGTTTATCTTCATCATAATAATGACAACATTAGATGACAACAGGTGCTCACATAGGTTTGTGCTGATGAACATGTCTGAGCAGCTGGACCACGTTGTTGTGTGTCAGGGAGGAAACACGACAGCAGCCACAGAGTCATGCTGGTTTGAGCGTGTCGCTGTTCGCTGGAGTTATATCAGCTCTGTCTGGACGTTAGTTGAAAAACTTTCTCTTTCAGTCGTGAACACATTACTGAGCGGCTAGAATCTCCGTTTCTGGGCTTCAACGTCAGAAAATAGCTGAGTGAACTCGGCGCTGAGTGAGAGGAGTGTTTAGTTTGTCTGAGACAGCGGAGCTGCAGACACCAGCAGCAGGCGCTGGAAAAAACACAAAGGAGGGGTCGCGTCGGCTCCGCGCTGACGCCGCAAAGCATCATGGGAGTTGAAGTCTTTGCGGTAAAATCGGCCAGCGGGTCAGTTTTAATATATTTTTGATATTTATCTCGCGGGCCACATAAAAATGCTCCGCGGGCCGCATCTGGCCCGCTGGCCTTGTGTTTGACAAATGTGCCTTAGAGTAATGAATTACAGTAATCCAGTCTTGATGTAATAAATGCATGAACTAGTTTTTCAGCATCACTCCTGGAAAGGATGCTTCTAATCTTAGCAATATTTCCGAAGGTGGAAAAAGGAAATCCTGCAAAGCTGTTTAACTTGGGATTTGAATGACGTGTCCTGGTCGAAGATAACACCAAGGTTCCTTACTTTGTTCTCAGAGATTAATGTAATGCCATTCAGGTCAGGTGACTGACTAAGCAATTTCCTTTTCTGTGTTGTCAACAGTCCTTTAATGATCGCTGTGCCTGATAGGCTACCTGGACCTTCAGCTCAGTTCTGTGAAATTTCAGTCACACGTATTAATGTTTCTCAGTTTACTTTCCACAACACAAATCTGATACTTTCTCTCCTCAGCTTTTTACAGATACACTAAGTAACTTTGTAATATTGTAAATCATTTTCTGAATGATTCGTCTCTTACCCACTTTCCTTTCTTTTCCTTTCCTTTCCTTTCCTTTCCTTTCCTTTCCTTTCCTTTCCTTTCCTTTCCTTTCCTTTCCTTTCCTTTCTTTTCCTTTCCTTTCCTTTCCTTTACTTTCCTAAGTCCTCCAAATAAAGGAGCCTAAGTCACTTCCACATCATGGGTCCCCGGAAGAAAGAATAAATGAATGCAAGTCAACGGGGCAAAAAATGCTATTTTCTAATCTGCTTTGCCTTATGCCCTGAATCGCACATATGTTGTACTGCAATTTTAATGAAAAGTAATGATGGGTGTTTCGACTACGCAAGTCGCGTACTTTGAGATTTATTAGCTTGTAAAAGTTCGTAAATAGCATGAGAAATTAGCACGTCGCACATGTGACGTCACCACATAATCTCCTCTCCCCTAACGTAGCTGCTACTAACAAAATGACCAGATTTATGGTGGCTCTTTCCTCCTGTGGCGAGTTTGTTGAACTTACAGCACTTTTCCCTCAGTTGTCTCCATGTCTGGGTCGATGATGTCACTTTTGTGAAGCGCATTTCTAGTCCTGGACTTATTTTCACACAAAACCTACAATATCGTTCCCCCTGTTCAAAAATAAGCACTTTCTTGGTATCAAAATGTGTCTATAAAATTCACGGATATCATATGTGAAATCCATGGCACAAAACAAGCGAAAATAGCGTTTTCAGCCCCATTGATTAATTTTTTCCTTCTTCAGGGGACCCATGATGCGGAAGTGACTTAGGCTCCCTATAAGCAAAAAGTCAAAGCCTTAAAGGCACAATATGTAAGATTACATTGAAACAGATTTCCTTGTCAGCTGGTGGTCGTGGAGGTGTGTGAGGTTGGGGGGGGGGGGGGGGTCTGCCTTTCAAAAAGCTAGAGGGATGTAGTCTTTATCTACAATCTACAAGTCTACAGGTTTGTCAAGTCTGTGCAAGCTAATACTGCTGTGATGGCATTTGTAATTTGACACGGTTGACAAAAATGCAGCAGCATGTTTTAAAGATCTTAAGCCAGAAACAGGAGTAAACCTGATGTTGTCTTGTACCCGTAAGAAGCTATGGCATCTTTTTGTTTGACTCCAATTTCAGGTAAAGCAGGCTAGAGGCTAACATTGAGCTAACCTTGAGCTAACAATGCTAATGGTGAATTGGAAGCAAATAGTTGTTTCTAAAAATATTTCTAGCTTTTTTTTTTCAATTATCAACAACTCAGTTTTACAGTGAAATGTATTTATCTACTTATCAGTTACCTGTGTCAGACTCATCTTTACTTGTCATCTAGAATCTCCTGATGCTGTGCTCTAGCTGGCGACAGCCAGTAAAAAAGTCTGTTGGGTATTTCGAATAATAGCCAGCAGTAACCAAATTTGACCACAGGATGTCATTCTTACATAATGCACCTTTAAATTCCTTTCTTGACTTTAAACAATTGCAACCACACGCACGTCTTGGATTCTCAGTACCATGATAGAATGTTTCATTATTGATAGCTTGAGCCATTCATGTGACCGTCCACGCCTCCTTCCTGGGGTCCTGTTGAGCATCTACATCCTCATGAGGATTTGGCCAATGATCCCATCTTCCATCCCCTCCTCCTCTCTCAAAAAGTTCCTCTGGAACTCCTAAAGGAGGATAAAATGTTTTGGAATTTCTGAATGTGTGGAACCAGAAACTAATGAATGCTGATAACTTTAGTATACTGTCGTAACCCCGGTTTTCTGAGTAACATGAGTGAGATGTTTCACTATGGGATACGCCCCTCCGCGGATTCCTCAGAAGCACTTATCTCAATATGCCAATCCTGATTGGCCAGTGACCGTGACGTACGCGTCCCCTGCCACTATAAGTAGCAAGCGTCCCAACGCACGCACCATTCAAGATAAATACCTCTTCTCGCTTCGCCCAGCAAGAAGGGTTGTCCGGTGAGACATCTCACTCATGTTACTCAGAGAACCGGGGTTACGACAGTAACCTAAAGTTCTCTTTCTTAACATTCGTTTCGATGTCTCACTATGGGATATGGAGACTCCCGTATTGCCAGACAGCTTATCCAGCGATCACCAACCTACAGGGATACGTCTTGGCCCGCCAAGGACCCCACACTTAGAATTGTGTGAGTCATTGCAGGGACCAAAACGTCAAGCTCATAGAAGCATGCAAATGCAAGTGGAGAAGCCCAACTTGCTGCAGCACAAATCTCCTGGACTGAAAGCCCCCGAAAAAGGGCCCAAGAAGCAGACAGGCCCCTAGTAGAATGGGCCCTGAGCCCAACAGGAGCCTGAATGCCCTGACAGGAGTAAGCCATAGAAATAGCCTCCACAATCCAGTGGGAAAGCCGCTGCTTTGTGACGGGTTTCCCCTTACTGAGGCCCACCCCATGACACAAAAAGCTGGTCCCCCCTGCGAAGGTTCTCCGTCCGATTAAAATACTCCTTGAGCGCGTGAATCGGACACAGCTTGTGCAACCGCTCCTCCTCAGGAGAGGAGACGGGCGGTGGGTAGAAAGCTGTGAGGATAAAAGGAGAAAAGGAGCCCACCACCTTAGGCACAAAGGCAGGGTTGGGCTTCAAGGACACCTTTATGTCACCTGGTGCAAACTGGGTGCAGGATGGGTGCACAGAGAGAGCCTGTAAGTCACTAACTCGCTTTGCAGATACCAAAGCCAGAAGTAGCACCACCTTAAGAGACAGGATCTTAAGGTCCAGGCTGTCCATAGGCTCAAATGGAGGCCCGGAGAGGGCCGACAGCACCAAGGACAGATCCCATGAGGGCACCAGGGGTCCAGACACAGGGAGAAGCCTGCACACGCCCCTCATGACGCTACACACCAGGGGGTGTTGACCTGCCAGTTTCTTCCCAAATCCCAAGTGTCGGGCGGAAATGGCTGCTAGGTACACTTTAATGGTGGAGAAAGCCTTCTTCCCATCCAACAAGTCTTGCAGGAAAGACAGAATGACGTTCACCGGGCATTGGAAGGGTGAGACCTCCCTGCCCTGACACCAGGCTTCAAACATCCTCCATTTACAGTCATATAGGGACCTAGTGGAGGGGTCCCTAGCATTCTGAATGGTTCGAATGACTGCCTGGGGGCAGCTCTGCTGACACTAACCCGCACCCCTCAGGGGCCAGGTCCACAGGGCCAGATGTTCTGGATGAGGATGGAAGATTGAGCCTCCCGCTTGGGACACTAGGTCCCCTGCGAAGCGGCAGTTTCCAAGGTTGGCCCTCCAGGAGCTGGAAAATGTCCGCCATCCAATGCATGGCTGGCCAGTATGGGGCCACCAGAATGAGAGTGTGGAGCTGGGTTCGTACCCTCAGCAAGGTGGGTGGTATCAGGGCCACTGGGGGAAAAGCGTAAAGCGTTCCCGTGGCCATTCGTGCGCCAGCACGTCCACGCCGAGTGGAGCGTCTTGGTCACGCAGGGAGAAGAACAGAGGACACTGAGCATTCTCCTTGGAGGCAAAGAGATCCACTACGGCTGTGCCGAACCGGATCCAAATCTGTTCCAACACTGCTGGATGCAGGCTCCAATCCCCGTACAGGGGTGTCCCTCTGGACAACAGATCCGCCCCCCGATTAAGAACACCCGGGACGTGGGTGGCTCTGATTGAGAGGAGATGCCTGCTGCACCATAGGATCAGTCTGCATGCCAGCGTGTGTAACCGCATGGAGCGCAGCCCCCCCTGGCGGTTTATATAAGCCACAGTCGTGGTGTTGTCTGTTCTCACTAGGACATGATGGCCGGAGAGAAAAGGCAGGAAGCTTCTCAGGGCCAGAATGACCGCGAGGAGTTCCAGATAATTTATGTGTGTCCCCCAGAGCTCTCTGCTCCACACACCCCTGACAGAGCGGCACTCCAGGAGTTGATTTTTGCTGCGCCCTTGACATTCTGTCTGGATGCGGCAGCAAACTTTTTAATGCTTCTTGAGCATGACATGTTTGTGAAAAACAATGCAAGTGCTTGTGACGTGTGTTTTGAGCCGGCACAGCCGGTTGCACGTCCTGGCCCCAGCCTGAACCGCTCGGGGACTCTGCCGGAGGGGTCCTGTGAGGGGGGGAGAAAGCACCATGGTAACACTGAACAGGTGGAGCTGGCGAACGGGGAACTGCCAGCTGCAACGTCGGGAGGGAAAGAACTCTGTCAGGCTGCTCTTTTCTTCTTTCTCACCTGCTGACCGCCGGGCCAGGTGGGTTGTCCCGGTGGCAGAGCGGCTTGGTTGCCGGACCTCTGAGGCCAAACTGGTCGAGGCGCTGAGCCCGAAGGAGTAGGTTGGACTGCTTGAGGCTTCGGGCGCTTTGGGACCCGGAACTGAGGCTGGGTTCGGGCAGCTGCCTGAGGAAAAGTCGGCTGAGCCGGCAGAGCAGGTGAAGGTTTACGGGGAAGGCAGAGTTGAAGGGCTTCATCCTCTTTCTTTTTTGCCTCACACCATTGTTGCACTGATGCCAATGCAGAGCCAAAAATGCCTTCAGGCACAATTGGCATGTCCAAAATGTCCTCCTTCTCTCTATCAGAGAGGTTGGTGAGGTTCAGCCATCGTGCACGTTCCTGAAGCACCGTCGTGCCCATAGCTTTAGCTGTGGCCTGGACCGCGCAGCGCTGCACCCGCAGGCAGATGACGGTCAGTACGGTGATTTCCTCCCACACCTCCGGGTCTGGTTTCGTATTCATGTCCTCACAGAGCTCGGCTTGGTACGCCGAGAGCATGGAGGAGACATTCAAAGCTCGGACCGAGATGGCGGCAGCCTTGTTCGCCCTCTCGTTCAGCGCCGACTGGAAGCGGTCCACCTTTGCAGGGAGAGCGGGAGGCCTGGAGGAAGTTCCTGAGAGCCGTGGGTGCAGGTGAGCTGCAACCAGCGGTACCATCGGCGGCATGCGAAGCATGCCAGCCTTATCCATACCCTTGAAGTCCAGCGAGGAGGCTCCTTGGACAGGAAACCTGGAGCTGAAAGGGTGTTTGTCCCAGGAGGATCTCACTTCTTGGAGGAGCTCCGGGAAGGCGGGCAGGAGAGGCTTTGCCGCCCTTGTGGCCTGAGGCAGCTTCTTTCCCTCGTAGCGGGATCTGACAGCTTCAGTGACCATGGTGGGCCAAGGGATGTTGAGCCTGGTCGCAGAGCGTCGGCAGACTGACTGCATGTCCAGGTGGGCAGCTGGAGAAGCCGCTCCATCCCTGGGAGAGGACGGAAAGCTAGGCATGGAGGCCTGAGCGATGGGGAGACAAACGTCGTCATCCTCTTCCTCCTCTGAAGTGAGGAGTTCCGAGGTGTCCTCATCGTCTCCGTAGTCCAACTCCAACACGTCCTCGACGGGGTGGCTCGGAAAGGCCAGTTCGAGCTGTGAGCCCCAGCTGTGTTCGGCACACAGTTCCGGCTCCGGGAGGGCATGTTCGCCGGCGTCCCCAGGCAGTGTCCCAGGGGCCGGCAGGCTTGGCGCGCTAGCCACCGGCGAAGGCTCTTCAGGGTGAAGCAAGCACAGCTCTCACACGACCCGGGGACTTCCAATGCCAGCTGGGCTTGTTACAGCCCGAGGTAGCTCGAGCAGACCTTGAGCAGGTCTTTGCTCGAGATTTTGTTCCCACAGGTACAGAGGCGAGCTCCTGCGCCGTGAACTCCTCTGGTGGGAGGAGCAGCTTCCATGTGGGCTAACTGGTGTGGTAGCCAGAGAACGAACAGGTGCACTGGAGTGTGAAGCTGCTCGCTATGCCCCGAGCCTATGGTGAATGTCAGGACAGAAGGACAGTTAGTTAACGTTCGGCGACAGAGAGAGAATATTAGCTGGCTCTGTCTGTGAACAGTTGAGCTAACTTACCTGAGAGATAAGCAACCACCAAAACGAGAAGAGGTGATTGAATGGTGCATGCGTTGGGACGCTTGCTACTTATAGTAGCAGGGGAAGTGTACGTCACGATCACTGGCCAATCAGGATTGGCGTATTGAGATAAGTGCTTCTGAGGAATCCGCGGAGGGGCGTATCCCATAGTGAGACATCAAAATGAATGTTAAGAAAGAGAACCCATCTTTAGCTTGTAAATAGTGTGGGATGACGACTCTTGTTTTGAGATGCAGAGACTTAAAACATTAGAAATCCTGTGGCTGCACACTGTTGGCATCGATGGTTTGCATCAACAACACGTTTTACAAGGACAGACATGAGAACAACTACAGACGCCTGATGTGACATCAACATTTAGACTTGAGGTTATGTGGAGGAAGGGTCCAGGAAGTAGTGGGGCCAAAGGGCCGATGGCCCTCCCACTCATCATGGCTATTCACATTCTTTATAGCATGGATATTTTACTGTTTTAATCCTGCATGGAAATTGAAACTGACAAAGGAACAAAGAAAGATCTTGCATGTTTTCCTTTTTGGAAAATGAACTCTTTTACTTTGCATTTTAGTTTTCTACACAACTTGATGCTCTAGTTAAAGGGGATTTTAAATGAATTTAAGGCATCACTTAATAAATGGCTTTGGTGTGTTTAGCTCACAAAATAAACTAAATATAAACACATTTATGAGACGGGGAGTAAAACACTGATGTAAGTTGTGCAAAAATGTCTTGCTTCATCAAACAATCTAAATATTTCTTCAAATGTTCAGCTTTATATCATCACCCATCTTTACATGGGATAAAAGTTATGAATGAGTCTCAAAATGACAGGGTTTCTGATTTTTTTCTACTTAATTTACTTGAGTAAAGGCTTCATTTTTACCGCAGATGTCTCTTAGATGGTTTTTCCATAATCCAACAGAAATTGTCAACCACCTCTCATTGATTTTTATCTTCAGTTACTCCTGTGAATGTTTCTGTGTGTTCTTTTACATTTTCTCCCACCATGAATCCCTGATGCTACAGTGCATTGAATCACAGCCCAGACTTTGTGATGTCAGCCACCATTCCGTTATGAATGCAGGAATCTCATGCCGCAAGTGTTGCTGTATTCTGCAGCTTGTATAAAATGTTGCACCATTTTAATGCAAAGTCCTTGACAGGATGGAAATTAAGACATTCAGGGGAAGTCCATGAAAATGGAGGTTATTAGTCACTTACTCAACTGAAATGTGAAATAAAGTCAAACAAAATCCAGAACCCCAATACCTACTGTCCCTTTGGGTACCAATTTGGGTAAAGATTTAAAACTCAAATATGGCAATCTGTTTTATTTTATTTTATGGTTGATAAAGTAAAGCCTATTTTATGCTTCTGCATTTGTGTCAGTATGGTGACGTTACCTCAATAATGCTGTTATCCGTCGTTGCTAGGGCTTTCCTACAGACTCACAAGGATGGACTGAGTTGGGCCCAATTTTCTAAAAATCTGTCAAATCCATGGTCGGGTTGCAGGGGGCAGCAGCCTAAGCAGGGAGGCCCAGACTTCCCTCTCCCCAACAACTTGGGCCAGCTCCTCTGGGAAAATCCCAGGCCATTTGCTGGCCAGCTGAGAAACAGAGTCCCTCCAACGTGTCCTGGGTCTTCCTTTAGGTCTACTCCTGGTTGGACGTGCCCAGAAAACCTCACAAGGGAGGTGTCCTAACTTGATGCTCAAGCCACCTCAACTGGCTCCTCTCGATGTGGAGCAGTTGGTCTACTCCGAACCCCTTCCTGATGACCGAGGCTCTCACCCTATCTCTAAGGGAGAGCCCAGCCACCCTGCGGAGAAAACTCATTTCAGCCGCTTGAATCTGCGATCTCATTCTTTTGGTCACTACCCAAAGCTCATAGCCACAGGTGAGGGTAGTCATGTAGATAGACCGTTATATCGAGAGCTTTGCCTTCCAGCTCAGCTCTCTCTTCACCATGACAGACTGGTACAACACCCGCATCACTGCAGACGCAGCACCAATCCGCCTATCGATCTCATGCTCCATCATTCCCTCACTCGTGAACAAGACCCGAGATACTTAAACTCTTCCACTTGGGGCAGCACCTCGTCCCTGACCCGGGAAAGGCCTTCTACCCTTGTCTTACTCAAGACCATGGTCTCTTGAAGAATACCTCACAGAAAAACTCTAAAAAAATGAACGTTTATTCACCCGTGACTGGAAGAGTGAAAAGGTATGCAGCAAGTATTTTATTTGTGGACGGAAATGAGGGGAAACGTGGGTTTAGAAGTGGCAAGAGCATGAAGAGGTGGAGGAGAACGAGAGACAAAAATGGCTCTATGTTAAAAATATCTGAAATTTAAAATACACAATATAAATACAATAGTAAATGCACTATCTTGGACCAGATGACAGGATCCCACAGAAAAGTGCTCCACCCTCTGTTGTCCTGGCAGTGAATTGCTTTGCAACTTTCCCCAGGAGACGGAGAAGTCCAAGAGCAAAACGTCTTTGTCAATGCGTCTGTCCCTTGTGGAGCTGATGCAGAAGCATCAACTAGGCTTAAGATTTATTTTCCAAACACCCAACATTATCAACCATTTGCCACCTTTAAAATCCAAGCATTATTTTCTGTATAGGATTTCTGCGAAAAAAAAAAGGATCATTTTTGGTATTCTTCTCACCCTGAACTTCTGGAGTCTCATCAGTTTATCTTGAAGAGCCCTTTCTTGCTTGGAGGTGAGTTCTGCTACGTGAATCCTCCACCGCTGCTCTTTTTCCTGAAACACCACAATATTCCTTTAAACACACACACACAAAAAACATTGTCAAGTTGTCTGTAATTTTAATGAGACATGATTATATGCTGCATTGTAAAACATCCGCCCATATGACGTTCCATACATGATTGACATAACATCCCATGTGGGCAAATGCCAAGTTTCAGGATTCATTTCTGCAGCCATGGGCAGAAAAAGGAAGTTGACACAGAAAACATCTACGATCCTTCACACTAAGTCCTCAGCATCTTAAAGCTCTGCAGGATCCTTTTGGAGTCAGCAAACTCATCCTGACATAATGATGTGTCCGTGTATATTCTGCCAGGGGCACCCCAGGATCCCAAGTCAACGCATAATGAAAACTGCCGGAGCTGTTGGCGGTCTACCCCTGACCTCAAATTGGACCCTCTTGGATTCAGTTTCCTGCTGACTGTTTGTGTGTTTTTAAGGAAAATTGGTACATGTGTGCAAAGGAGAAAGGGGGAATTGTGTATTAAAGGCTTGACACAGGATATGTGTGAGATGGCCAAGCCCAGTTGCTCTAAATGAACTGTGTCTGCCATTGATTAACATTTCTGTCATGCTGCACACTCGTGTGTACGTGTGCGAGTGTTTCGACAGCTGTAACGTGTGTAGGAAGTAGACGTGAGCGAGGGAGACATTTAGTTTGATGTCTGTCAGTTTAAAGAGGAAGACTCGCTGACATATGTGGAGAAGGTGAAAGCAGTTAAACTGTTACCTCCCCAGTTCTGTCCTGAATACAAGAGCTCATTCACTTTTGATTTAGTTTTACAACTTCTTCTTGGAACATTTTGGTATTTTTACTCAAGCCACTTTCTGTTTACATCTTGGTTCAGAAAGCATAGCAACTCTCATTCGGTGTTTGGTTAAAAATCACAAAAATAAATAAAAACATTAAAACTAACCCCTACTTCACACTGGATGCATCAGCGGCACGGAACGGCAGCAGAACACAGCTGATTCAAAGAGATTCCATCATAGTCTATGGGGGTGATTCAAACCAGCCGTGATGCGTAAATTTACGTTGATTGGTTGTAACTCAGTAGGAAACACATCAGCAGGTGTTGTCCAAAACAACTGGCATTAGTAAAATTAGAAGAGTTGCTTGTGAAGCAGAATGGAAGCAAAAGTGCCGCACACGCTGCGTTTGCCATTACTCCCAATACCAAAAAAAACACCATGGCACAATTCACATGGCTTTGTTGTCTCAGTGAGCGACGTGGACATTTCTTCTGGTCATTGAATGCCACATCTTACATCACACAGCTGCTTTCGTTCTCTGAATGGATTCAATCGCTGGACTTTGACAGAATAAAGTTTTTAATGTTATTAATGTTACTGCGGACGCTTTTTGGTGCTGATCAGTGACATCACTCACTGCTGACTCAGTCGCATTATGCTGACGTCTGTACAAAGTCCCGAAGGGACTGGGCCATCCAGTCTCCCGGTCAATTTTCCTCTTTCAGAATTCGCACTGACGTTCCAACAAAGGAAACTCACCTATTTTGAACAAAAAATAAAAATACAACATTTAAAGGTCCGACCCCTTCTTCAGGGGAATCACAGATGCTTGTAGAAAGCCGTGTAACATCTGCTTGTGACAGACATGCACGAGCAGACACACAGCTGTGCTGAACTGATAAGTCCGAACTGAACTGAACCTTCTATAGAAAATATTTATCATTTTCCTGTGTATCATATAAAATGCAGCCAAAATTAATATTTTTTTTCACCAACATCCATTTATCCATGACTTATTTCAATAATCAATTCCTTTTATACTTTCATCTTCAGTTGCATTTTGATTTTTTGAGCTCCTTATATTTTTATTGCTTTATACTTAAGACATTTATTTATTTATTGCTTCCTTTGCATTTCTTTCTCAAGCATTTGTCATTATTTTCTGATTTACTAGAAAATCTTTTTTTTTGTTCTCCCTTTCTGTTTTTGACATTTTACCTTCATTTTTCATTTTTTCCCATTTGTCATTTCATGTCCTCAACATTTTGATCCAACACTTTTATATTCATGTTACTCAGCAGTTTATTCCAGTTTAAAGCATATAAAACTCACGTAACAAAATAAATATTTTTATGTGTTTTATGTATTAGCCACCATTGAGTTCAAACTTTAAATGGCGATTATCAGCTGTGGAGTTGCACCTCTCAGACTAGCCACAAACTAAATGAGTCTGAACAAATCTGACATGTTTGATCCAAATGTTTTTATTCCAATTGTTTTGAGCCATTAATCGCGAGACCATAGAAGTAATGTGATAAATCAGGTTAAAATTAATCATGATTGTCATGTTTAAAATGCCTAATCAACTGACAACCCTAATCGTCACAAATCAAATCTGTCTCTGGTATTTGTCTGGTTTATTTACACATGTCCACTGGTGCATTCAGGACTTTCCTTGGTAGTAATGTTTTCTAGTTAATCAGGTTTTTGTTGTTTGTGACTGTTGACACACGTGCATGAGACCACAGTTTATGTTCATGTTAGGGGTCAAGGTCAGGGTCACCGGAGTCTGTTCTGCACCAAGCTGAGAAAGTCGGTTCTGTCTGAGAGAGGGAAATACTTTCATCTGACTGTTTTTATTTTATTTTTTTTACAGCTTAAACTACTGATGACTCCTGCTCTGGCCGTACACACTCCTGCCTGGTCAAAGCATTCACAGCTGTTTTGTGCGTACATGTATGTGAGTGTCCATCTGTTTTGGCAACAGTTTGTGTTTTTACAGTGAATTCATCTACAAACACATGCGACAATGTTTAAATCATGTTTTTGTGTTGCTAGTGCTATGTGCATGTTTACCTGACTGATAGACCCAGCAGTCATGACTGTGGTTGATTGCCATGTTTCCATGGTAACGAATCTGATTCAGCCCCAGGCCATGGAGTACGCCTCAAAGGTACATTAACGCTCTTCAATCCAGCGTCTGCTCGGTTGATCCGCCAGCAGAAGAAGACTGATTATTCTGACAGTTGTTAAATAGGAATTTTTTAAAGACAAAACTATTTCACCCAGAAACTGTGGCCCAGGACCCGCCTACAAATGTGGTGTGTGAAAATAAAACCAGAATATCAGCAACAGAAACCTACCGATGAAAGCAATAACCTCTGTTCAGGGCTACGATTCAAAACTCAAGCGTTTTCTTCCCTTCAGAGTCGGTTGATCTGTCACTACACCAATCAGCCTCATGCTGCTTGACTGGTGTGTGTGTGTGTGTGTGTGTGTGTGTGTGTGTGTGTGTGTGTGTGTGTGTGTGTGTGTTGTGTGTTAACAGGCCTTAGAAAAACAAGCTGTTGATAAAGATTATGTAATTAATTTTGAAACCTTCATGCTGTGCCAAATGTTTTTAAAGCAAAGAAGCAGTTTGGCTTCACAGATGTTCAGGCTTGTAGATCATCCCCACAGCCTTGTGTGTGTGTGTGCGTGCGTGCGTGCGTGCGTGCATGTGTGTGTGTGCGTGCGTGAGTGCGTGTGTGTGTGTGTGTGTGTGTGTGTGTGTGTGTGTGTGTGTGTGTGTTCACCTTCTTGCTTTCTTCCAATGCTGTCAGTCTTTCTTCCTCCCGCTTCTCCCATTCCAGTCTGTGGCGGACCTGTTGAACACAAAGCACTCAGAAACCAGCTCTAGCCCACCGTAAGTGAAGTCATGGAGCTCCGTCGTGATTCTCACCCTCTCCTCCTTTTGGTGTCTCCAGTCATCTAGAGCTACCGCTCCTTCTGCAGAATGTCCTGGTGTTCTCTCTGATGTTCCCAGAAACACATAGTCCTCCTCTTTACACAAACACCTCATTGACTGCAACCCAAAAAGCAACTTATGTCGGAATCAGTCAGAGTCGCTTCTAGAGTCGAGGATTAGTTGCCACGTCTAAAGAGTTACCTTCCCAATACTCTGATATGAATTTTAATTATTTTTTTATTAAGCTGATGTTTTTATCCAACGTAACTTACAATTATGGAATCATGCACGTGTTTGCCCACACATGGACGGTAACGCTGCACAGATTGACCTCAGCTAGGTTTTGAACCTGCATCCTTCTCCCTGTGAGGCAACAGCACTACCAACTGAGCAGCCATAACACTTCTCATTACTGTGAATTTAATAAGATGAGATTTGCAAAATTGTATTTGACTTCTCGTGAATATCTCCTTCTAAAGCCAGTTAGAGACACATTTCAAGCAGCTGTGCAGCTTTCAGGTGGAATGACTCTGAATGGGTTAATTACACTTTTCAAAACTGTTAATAAACGCTTCAAAGTTTCATGCAAATGCTCCTGTTTGCAGTTTAGTAAGAAAGGGGTTCGATTATGCCCTCATATGTTTGCATTTTATCCAGATTTTATTTATTATTTTGTTGTTTTCCTGTCTCTGATTGTTTACAACTTTATTAATTTCATGGGTGGCCTCCAAAAGTTGTCTCATGTTTATCAAACATTCTGAATCCCAATCCAAGTTTGAAATTCTGAAGAAAAAAATAGAGAACTTTTTAAAGTCATTTTGCAAGTGTTCACTATTTGCTGCCAAAATCCTGATGAAAACTGGATTCATGACCAGACTTCTGTAAAATAACAAACCAAAGTAGGAATTTAAGTCACGATGTGCCACCCCCATGGCCCCCTTTCAGCCACCTCTTTAACCCTTCTCTAGATGCACTCCTGGTTTTCAAACTCGGCTTTTCAAAAAGTCTTCAGTGGTCACTAAATCTGTACATTAATCATGTAACGCAACTGTCTATTTCTATTTAAAATGTACAAAACTGGTGTAATACAAGAAAAGCTTTTTTATTTATTATTTTATTCATTGGCTACCATTAAATTCAAACTTTAAATGGTGAGTATCCACTGTGGAGTCTCCTCTTGCCACAAACGTCTCAAATCAGTCAGAACTAACTTGCATTTTGAAACTGATCAAAGAGCTTCTTACAAGGAAAACACAAAATACTAATACTAAGCTAAACTTTTCCACAGAAATCTAGTTCAAAGGTTGTAAATGATCCCTTTTTACGGAAGGGTTTCATTCAAACACGCAACAAAACAGAACTGACAGGATGCAGAACATGTTTTAGCACATACACAGTACACTTCGTCATACAAGGCTAAAGGAAATACTTGAAAACTGTATCCTGGCTGGATTTGTTAAAATTTTACTGTGCATATTTAGTAACTTCTATTGACTTTCCTGAAGCATTTGTCTGGTCTTTTTTAAGGAAAATGTTCTTCATTTCTTTTATTTTTTGCATATTTTATTTTGTATAGTAGGATGCATTTTTTTCCTACAAAATCTCTTTGGATTTATTTTTATACGAACACTGAAGGAATCATATTTGGTCAATTTAATAAGCTTGGGTTTGTTAAACTGTTGCAAAAGGTGATAAACTGCTTGTTATATACTCTAATATTACCAGAACTATTTTAAATAAATGTTTTGTTCCTAATTCTCTTTCTTGTAACATACCTTTGACATCGGAATACTTTGAAATCGCTTCACATGAGTCATCTTGAATGAGCGTGGGTCTGTAGTCTGTAAGGCCTGTTTTAGGGATATTCACCTCCTTTAAATCTAAATATACAAAAGTAAAAAATGTTTATATTTCTTTACTAATCCAATCAGAGCGCAAGAGGATAAAAAAGCAACTCACCTGATGGTCCATATAAGTTGTGTTGACTCCTTTTATACTAACTTACCTATTACTGATCAGTACTTTGTGTTTAGGTGTAGTCGAGTGTGTCCCAGCTGAAAGATCCAGATCACTCTTGTAGAGGTTCTTAAACAGTGACAGCATGCAGCACCCATTTCCACATCGCAGTGACAGAAGTGCCACTCTCACACTAATAAAAAGCCAAGAGGCCAGGGGCCTCATATATCAAGCTTGCTTACGCACAAAACGGGGTCGGAAAACTGCGTAAGCAACTTTCCACGCAAACTTTGGGATTTATGAAAGAAAACTTAGCGGAAAAATGACGCAACTTTAAGTTGACTAAGGATCTGGCTTACGCACATGTTGGACATAGAGAGCACCTGCAGTGCTGTTGCTGAGAAGGATAAAATTATGAAATCCTGCAGCATTATCACTTGTCCTGCTTCGTTTTCACACAGAACAAGACCCCCCACATGCGTGCACATTCACACACACACACACACACACACACACACACACACACACACACACACACACACACACACACACACACACACACACACACACACACACACACACACACACAGCCTGAAGCGCAAAATACAGAATGCAGAATATCAGCAGGGGGACAGATTGAGACAGAATGTCATGTGTCTATGACAGTGTGTGTCCTGTCACTGTGACAAGATTAATCATGTGTCCTGGCTAGTCTAACAGGGGAGATCTCCATTTGATTGGTTAGCGCGTGTGACTTTCACCTGGGAGTTTGGGGATCAAATCCCAATTGGACCATTTTTTTTATATCCGCCACAGATCTCTCTGAAGAATTCACAACATTGACGGCTTCAGCAAAGCGGTGCCACTCAGTGGATTTTCTCTTATTTGTTTTGCAAAAGCACTTCCTTTCATTTCTCCACCTCACCCACAGGTGCCTCAATTTCTGCTTCTGTGAAAAAGCGCTTCCTTGATCTGGCTTGATCTACGGTCGCCATGTCATTTGCGGAGCGCTGCAACAGACAGCTTATGTATATGCATGAGGTCCACAAGGTACTTTGCATTGACTATTTAGGGCAGTAAGTGGGCGTGGTGAGGGCGGGATGTTGCTAAAAAGCAACTGAGAAACATTCTCGTTAGTCTCCGATTTATGAAGTGGAGATTGCGTGCAGCTGTGTGTACTCCATGTTTGATAGATCACAAACCTGCTTGGCGTAAGTAATTCTTTTTTTTTGCTGAGCTTAAGTACAATTTTAGTAAGGATTCTCTGCACTGTTTGATAAATGAGACCCCAGAACTGTACAGGAAGCATCACTGTGATGGTATGTGTCCATCGACAGCTAGCAAAATAGCCCTGATGGGGAGGCCTGTGTTTACAAAAAAAAGGACAGATTTTAGTGAACTGAGTCTAATTTTTACAATGATGAGTTTCGCTTCACAATGAAAGGACTCTGATATTAACAACTGTGATATTTCACTGAACAATCAGTTCAACTTATGGGGGAGCCAGGGGGAGCCTGGCTCCCCCGAAAGGGCAATGAGCTCCCCTGGAAGCCCTCAACTAACACACCTAGGGGGAGCCAGAAGAATGATCTGTTCTGTGGACAAACATCATTAGCTCTCTGGTTACGAGGTTTCACGTCTTGTTGTCTGTTGTTGGGTACAAATTCCTCCATGGTTTTCCCTCTTGCTTAAATCAACCCAATGTTAATTAATGACAATAAGATGTTACATGAGGTTGTGATTAATTTTTAATTAGAGTTTAACCTATCATTTTACTTTTGGTCAGTTTGTTTCTGGCTATTTAAAGCTGAGCAGTGGCTGTTTGTAGCCTTAAGTAAGCACAGACTTGGGTCATTACTTGTAACTGTTGTTTGCAAAGAAAAATAAAAGCAACTGTTTCCCTGAAGACGTACTTAAGTTTATCAACCAAGTGCAGATTTAAAAACAATAAATCTTTAGAAATTTAGAAGCAGCCTTTTGTCTTGGCATCTTGACAACGTCCATCAAGTCATAATTAATAGAACTTCTGCTGAGCTGCTAATGGAAAGCCTGACAGCCACATCAGTTGCTGGTGTAATATGTTTGCTCTGAACTCATCTCTGTTGTAACAAACATACAACACTGAGCAACTACAGTGATTTTCACAGTTGGTTCTGAATGAAGAGACGTTGCGAGGCTCACTGTCAGCTCCAACGTTATGCAATCCCAGTGTCCCCTGCAGTGGGAAAGCAAACACATGTCAATATAACCGCTCCACAGTGAGACTAACAGGCCTTATTTTTCCTCAAAGCATCTGTATAACTGTCTGGTCTGAAACGGGAGTCCAGCTGCTGTAAGTGCTGCATGTTTGTGTAATTCTTTCCCTCCTTGCTTCTAATGAGGTCTTTTGGCTTCCTTTAGCAAACACTCCTTCAGTAAAAACGGGTGACATCAGCCTCGTAGAAAGTAGAGATGATGCATATTGGACCGTAAGGGTCAACATTTCAGAAAGGTGTGACAAGAAGATCAGCTGAGTGGAGGGACCCTGATAAACTTGTGTTATGGAGAATCATATCAGGGTCTTAATAATCAAAGTGCTCCACAAGAGGCTTAACATGCTCTAAGTATCCTGTCCATCCTGGTTGGATGTATTTGGTACTTAAGATTCAACCATCAGGTTCTTGTTTTAGTGCAGATCCTGTTCTGTTATTGCTGGATGCTAGAGCTGTGTCATTATAGTAACAAACTCCTGTACAGGCATTCCCATGGCCTCAATCTCTGTCAGGGCAGGCTGTGTTTGGAAGATTTATGTGCTGAATACAGAAGCTTTTACTAAACATCATCCTTAATGCTGAGAGAAGCTAAAGACCAAACACGTGTGTGTGGGCGATAATTACGTTCAAGATATCCTGTCACATCGAGAGAGGTGGACATCAAGCGTTGCTTATTTATGGACAGCCTGAAATGCACAGATATCCATCGTCCTGTTTTGAAACTATACACTGAATTTAAATGAACAACAGATTATTTAGTTGCTATTTAAGTTTTAATAGGAATAACCTAAATATCCTCAGTGAAGTACATTTATGTTGACCTTGGTTTTAATGTTCACTTTGCTGGAAGGTCGCATGTAAACAAGTCAAAGAGCTGACAAACTTTATAGGGAAAGCAATTTGTCGGACTCAAGGCTAAAAGCATTTGAATAAACTCATGATGAACTTGTGTACATGTCTTACAGCTTTTGTCTGTGGCATACGGGCAGGTTTAGTATCAGGTCTGTTTTTATGTGCTGTTAAGGAGCAATACATCATAGACACTGCCTCTGAAAATGTATGGATCACTTATCTTTGTGGTTGAGAGAATAACCAATATTCTTGCAACATTCATGATTTGGCCTTTTATTAGACACCATCAGTCGTCTGCATCAGCCTCCTGGTATAGACGATAATCCAAGTTGATCACTTTTATATCAGCGTGCATTTTAGTAAAAACCTTGACCTTGAGGTGGACCTCTTCAAAAGTTGTTCTAGTTCTCATTTGTATTATTGAACTCTTTAGTTTGTCCCTCAAGTTCCTCTTGCAGCCATGACAGTTATCTATCCCTTTCCAACTGTGGTGATGGGAACATCAAGATACATCAAGTCATGGACGTAGCTTTGACTTTAGAAGTGGAGGGTACACAATCTGCATGAGGACCGGGGAGGGAGAGGGGGGGTCTTTACAGCAAGTATACAAAAAATATGTCATACAGTATGTAATGGGAAACAGGCTTCAACGCAGGCGGTTGTTTTCTACTTGGTCCTAGCGCTCAACCAGTGTCTATTTAATATAGAATAATATTGTTTGTGGACAATAATTGACTATGTCCATGCATCAAGCTACAGCTGCATCATTGAGCCAATCTTGACCAGCTGGCAGCTGCATCATCATATGGTATGGCAGCATCACCAGTAAGGCCCGCAGAGAGTGGTTACAAGTTTACCAGAGCACCACAACCCTCTATGCAGAGCATTTACCACCACATGGTCCACAGGAGAGCAACCTCCTTCATCAAATACCCCACTCACCACCCAACAGGGACTGTTGGGTGGTGAGTGTTGGTCCCTTAACTTCAGGTCAAAAGTAAAAAGGTGTGAAATACAAGAAGTCCAAACTAAACATCTGTTTTTCCCCCATGGACATCATTTGCATTATTTCATTTTCAGACAAAAATGCATGTTTCAAGAAAAAACAAAGAAATATCTAAGTGATCTCAAACTTTTTAACTATTATGTAAAAATGTTTAGTTTTGTTCAAATTGCATGCTTTGTGGGTTTTTG